AAGGGCAATAGGTGGCGGGGGATGGGGGTATTCGGTGGTGGGTGTCGACGCAAACAGGGGCAAACCGGGGGTGTGCTGTGGTGGTTCTCGGTAGTGGATAGCCACCTTCGGTGGGGTGTTTAACCAAGAAAAGAAGAGAGAAAGGGAGGAGGGAGAGTTTAAGAGTGAGGGTTGTGTTTTTGTGTGAAGAAATATAGAGCCAAACTTCCTTTTTATAGTGTCTACCACGTTCTCATGCATCTATGCACCATGCTTAGAAATCTAGTCAAACACACAAATGTATCCATGCTTCTGTCTTTAATCAAAAACCCATGCATTTACTATGAAAAGAAAGGGTAAGGGAGGAAGGGTGGAGCGCATGGGTCATGCTAAGAGAATGGACAATTGGCTATCTTTTGACTCTCTCATGCAAGGCTTGTAGTACATGGTGATGTCACAAACCTCAAAATGCCCTAAAAACCTTCCTAGATTTGTGTGCCAAAATCCCGACACCTAATATTTTTTTCCCGAAAGTGGCAAATGACAGAGTCGAGTTCAAGGATTCCAAAAACCCTAACGGATAAAATTTTTGAGTTGTAGAACTCCAGGAAATCGCGTTTAAAGATTCGCGTCTAATTGACCCGAAACGTCCGATTTTTCGATTTTTACAAATATTTGCTAAAAATATTTTGAGTATGGAATTAATAATAGACCATAACATGAGTCAAAAAAAAGTTCTCGAAATTTCATCTGAGGTGTGCAACTGCCTCAATGAATCGAAACAGTTTATGCACTTTTAAGAAAATCAATATTATATTGGTTTGGTTTCTTATAACGGTCGTATGTTTTGCATACGAACTCCGTTTTGGACGTTTTTTATATTTTCAGAAACATGTACTACTAGACTAGAGTGTTTTCTTTGCTCACAACCACTTAATACGAAATTTTAGTTTTTCAGACGTATTAACTATGGTTATAGTTTGTGCTTTGTGATTCGTTTGAGATTCCACAACTAAAAGTAAGATACCATATGATATCTTATTTTAATTGTAATGGCACTATTTATTTATTTTTTCGAAATATGCATTAAATCTCAATAGGTTAAGTTACAAAGAAGTTCGCAATGAATTGACTGTCTACAATTTTAAACCTAAATCCCGAGATGTCATAATAAAACCTAAACTATGGCAACCTTATAAATTATTAACCCTGGTAATAAACATTATTTAAGTTTATTAAAAGAAATGTTAAAATTAAGACAAAGTTGCGAGTTTGATCCATTTTGTTTTATTTTTTATGAAATGATGATTTTGCCCTTTGTATTTTCTTTTTTTGGTTATTTATTACATAAAAAAACCAATCCTCTCTCTCTATGTATGTGTGTGTCTCTCTCTCTTCAACTTCACGTAGTACAACACACTTTCTTGAATCATACCCACGAAGAATTCTAATATTTCTGCAATTTCATTCACTACTTCAAAGAAACACATACTTTATTTCCTTCTTTTTGGGTATTACTTTACTGGGTTTTTGAAGATGGGGAGCAGAATCCCATCACACCAGCTCAACAATGGATTATACGTATCGGGTCGACCCATCTGATCTGTGTTGTTTTTCCCTAAACACACACACACACATCATATTTCTGCAGGAAAATCATAACACACACACACCACTCCTTTGTCGAAGCTACCATCGGGGCTAGAGTTTGCAGAATGGATCCGACCACCACCATCGTTGTCATATACCATCACCGTTTGTCACCACCATCTGTCTCCGCCAAGAAACCCTAACCCTCAGAAATGAAAACCCTAGCCCTAAAAATGTAGATCAGAACCACTGACCAATGAAGAAAGTTGGCATCAGTGGTGTTTTCTAGAGACGAAGAAAGAAGGATGGTCTCGATTCTAATCATGTGCAGATGAATTCCCAAACCCTTTCTCTGATCTCGATGCCGCCGTAAGCGGGTGTTCAGATCTCGACGACGACTTTGTTCTTCAATTAGGGTTTTCGTCTTTGTTCTTCAGTTAGGTTTTTCTGCTTCAGATCTGTTCATCGAGAGGTTATGGTTTGGTTAGGGTGTGTGTTCATCAGATTTCGTGTGTGTTCATCTGATTTCGTGTGTGTGTGTGTGTTCATCTGATTTAGTGTGTGCATGTGTGTGTATATCTGATCTGATTTTGTGTGTATGTGTTTATCATATCTGATTTCGTGTGTGTATTCATCATATAGGGGCGAACTCAAGAACAAACCCAAAATTTGTGTATGTTTTTGCTTCCATGATGATTATTTGGCAGAAATGAAGCGGCAGAAAATTTTTAGGTGGCAGACGGTGGTGGTGGCGGACTGTGGTGGTGGCGGACGGTGGTCGAACGATGGTGGTGGCAGAAGATGTTCTTGAATATATGAATATGTTCTTGGGTGTTTATCAAACACAAACACACACACACACACACACACACACACAGAGAGAGAGAGAGAGAGAGAGAGAAAGAGAGAGAGAATATTTTCTTTTTTTTTATTTATGTAATAAAAACTGAAAAAAATACAAAGGGCAAAATCGTCATTTTATAAAAAATAAAAACAAAATGGACCAAACTCGCAACAAAATGAACCTTTTGGACCGATGGTGCTAGTCCAAACATGTTTAGATTAAAGTAACAATTTTTGACATACCACAAGGGCCATTCTTGCAATTTTATGAAAAATTAATATGTAAATTTCAAGAAATATGAAATATGAACGATGAGAATAGTCGTTCATATCCTTTGAATGTAATGAAATTTGGAATTTGTTGACTTGAATGTCATAGAAACTTCAAATGTCTAAAACTGAAATTCCTAGGTCAATTGCAAAACATTAAATGAACTTTGACTCTCGCATTAAATTGACTTGGGCTGTTAGCAAAGTAAACAATGATAATCATATATGTTGATACAATATGGAGTATTTTTTTATTATAAAAGTTTAAATAACTATCTTAGCATTTTTGTGTGTGTTAAGTTGATTTTTATCCTTATTGTTTTAATGTCTTTTACGATCTATTTTGTTAATTAATATTAATAAATTTGTTGCTTAATTTTTATGGTATAATTCTTCATTTATTTTTGACAAATAATATTTATCCTTTTATAATAACACTCATAGTTATCTATGAATATTACACATGTTTTTTATATTTAAGTTTGTTATATGCTTGTATCAAATATGTATACAATATCTCGTGTAGTACAAAATGAGGCAACGATCTATTTGCGCTTGAGCTTAATAGGGTTTAAGCCAAGAGTTCTGGGTGTTAGGCTAAGCTTGATATCGATTTGATAGTTCAACAATTCTACTTGATACATATCTAAGGGTAGTTTGGAAAAAGATTTAGTTCAATCTCAGATCTCAAATTGCTTGAAAATATTTACCCTAAAAGTTTTCGAGAAAATAAGCTCAATTGAACTCGACTCGAACTCGATCTATAAGTTTACAATTGAATTCGATCATAAGTTGATACGCATTAATAGCCACATAAACATTGATGAGAATTCGAGTTGCGTTCTTATAAATTGTTACTTGTTATGTGTTTCAAGCTTATACTTGCTGTTAATCTTGAACTCGAATGAGCTCGAGCTTGAATATCTCGATGGGAGATGGGAAGAGGGTTTCCCTATAAATTAACAACATTTGAAATTTCATTGATCAAATGAATAAAATCATACAAACTGTGAGATAATGTATCATAAGAAAATTGATTATATGGTTTGAAAGTGCAACACAATTGGTTCTGTAACGGTATAAATTGCAGAAGATCACGGGGATAAGATAGGGATGATAGAAATACTTGAATATGATTGGGAAAACTGAACTCAAAGACGAGTAAAAAGTTATAGGTCTATGTATGATATTTTTTCTCAAACTTTTCATGGGTTTTTGGATAATCATGGTATTAGAATTATACTCGTCCAATTATCTGGTCCAATTTACTCATTCCAGAACCATTTTTTTTTATAATACTTAGATTTTAACATTGTATTATAATATTATGTATGATATTAGACACAAAAAAAATTGTTATGTAATTACTATCAAATTCTTAGTTTGAAAATAGATTATATTGTTTTTATTATTTATGTTATGAACTTGATTAGCTTATCATAAGTTGATATATTCTAAATTTTGTACGATGATTGTTATATTTATGTCATATTTGTTAGATATTAAACTTTAGTTGTCAGAAATTGGAATTATTAAAAAATCCAAGTCATTTTTTGGATGAGATTATGAGTTTCAAATAATGAAAATTTCAATGCATAAATTTAACATATTAAGATCATAAATGAGATACACGATACCCAAGGGTATGCACGCAAACCAAATGAGTATTTACTAACCGGGTGCCGACGGGAGGGATCATGTTATATGGTTTTATAATCAAATATGAGACTGAGATCACCGATATCCGTCCTATTGTCATTGGTAGTTCCTTAGCAATCGTGGTGTGGAGGTTTCATTTCCAATGTAGATTTGGTGGAGGTTTCATTTCCAATGTAGATGTGGTCATTGGTAGATTAAGGGTTGCTAATTCTTATAGAAAAATCTTACATTTTACTCAATTTTTTTAAGAAAACCAATTGGTTTATTTTTTCCTGTTAAATATATTTTATAAATTCAGCCTTGCTAATTCAATGTGTTTGTAGGTTAATTTTATGCTTTCATCTTGGTGACGTGGATTGCTAGATGTTGTCAAAACAAAATCAATGTCACTAGATGAATGTAATTTAGCTTTATTATTAACTAGGGAAGAACCCCCCTTTGCGTGTTGGATACACCAAAGAAATGGACAAATTCCTCAAAAGAATGTTTAATAATATGCAACTAACAAACCATGGATCAATGAACTTCAGGAAAGAGAGGTACTCTCAAGGTTTCTATGATACTTCGACACCTATATCAAAAACATACTTGCACATTTACAACCATCTCATTAATCTTAACATTTAACATTTTTCATCTCCCCTGAAACATGGATGTTATTGCACTCAAAGATTGTTTCCAAACAATGGCTATTTTGGCCCATAATGACTTCATTTTCTGGCATAAAAGAGAAATTTCTGAGAATATTTGAAGCAACGACTGCAATATTGTTGCTTTTCTGCACACCCTTCATCGTCCAAATTAAGTAAACCATCCTCAGAATGCGACCATTCTACAGGCTGAGACTTTGTTGCCTTTTTTCTGCATCGATGCCTTCGTAACACACCCTATGTTGCCATTTAAAAAAATGAGTGTTACCATTGCACACGAATCAAGAATCTGAAAATGTATATAAAAAATGGATCTTACTTCACATCATTTGAGCCTAAAGCTTTGAACTCGTTTCCAAATCCAGTAACAATGGAGTTAACACCTAGAGACCTTGTTGTTGGTGTCTTTATCGGCTCTTTTGGGAGAGTGATATGACGCGAGGTCAACTTCGCATCCAATTCAATGAACCTTCCCAAAAAATCAAAAACTTTCAAGTAAGAACTACATCTTATGAATATACTGTTAATACATAACCAAACAAAGGAAGCAGCTATCTCAGATTTCATAAAACAAAACCCCCAATTTCTTTTGCACATAACAAAATCAAGAAATCCATTTGTATGTACATCCGAGCTTGAGACAGAGGAGAGACAGTCAGTGGACTATGTTCTGTGACCTTTTGATTGGAGAGGAATGGCAGTGAGAGACACGTGTACAACGCCACTCTCAAACCAAGAACATACGCAAAGGTTTATAAAGGAAAAGCAAAAACCCTAAGAAAAATACAGATAGATTAAATTAAAAATAAACCCACTAAAAGAAAAAAGGAAAACAAAAAAGAAAAAACCCACCAATGAGTACAGAGTACGGTTCACAAAGGGGGGTCTCGTTTAATATATTATATAATTATTATTGTTGACATTGTTGTTATTTCTGATTATTATCATTGTAATTGTCTCACCACCACATCCATTCCAATATCTTTGTCGGAAAGCATATGCAACTACAAACCACCACAAAGGGGACTTCATTCACGAAACTCCCTAGAGCTTGAGAGCAGAGGCGGACCTAGAAAATTCTGTTAGGGTAATAATTTTTTTCCCCATTGATATAACAAACAAGAGTAGATATTACATTTTAAATATGACATCTTTGTTTACTCACTTTTTGAAAGTGATCCATTACATTTTCAATCTTAACATCCTTAAGTGTTTCCTTTTATCACAAATGAATCTCATCCACCTTGTTGTCCTACAATATCTCCAAACAAGTAACAACATAAACAATAAATTTTATCCTCTTTGTTGTTATACTCTAACTAATCAAATTCGTATAACCATTCCACGACAAAACGTCTTTGCATATACCTTGTTTTTTTTTTTTTTTTTTTTTTATGGAAATTGATGACCCTTTTGGTTGACAAACTCCCTTAATCCAATATGCTCTTTTTTATTCATCTTTTTGATTTGGATGATAAGATGTAACTTTTGGTGTCCGAAAAGAAAATAATTTAAATCAAAACTTATAAGTGGAGTAGGTATAGGTATAAAATGTTGTAGAGGTAGGTTGTGATTTTTGTGGAATTTCATTAAAGCCTGGAATAACCTCCAACGCTTCATCAATTCCAACATCTATTTTTCTCTTAAATAAGACCTACTAAAGCTAAATATTTCAACAACAATTTAGCAAAAAGATTTCAACAAAACTCACAAGCAAGACATTAAATAACATATATAAAAACCAATTTCAGAAACCTGCCGATGAAATTTTCATCATCGTAATTGGAAACCCAAAACCTACAACTAATTTCAATATTATATCAACATCAAGACATGAATTATATTTATATGAATCTCAACTTCTAAAGCGAAAGAACAAGTGAACAAATAATTTTAGATTTTCAGTAAGTAATTTACATGTTTCATTCTTGAAGACTTGGAGTTGGAGCTTCTTGTGCACTTGTGCTTCTACGATTTTAGATATCGGAATCATGAAAATAGCCTCGGAGCCTCCAAAATCGTTGATTTCAAGATCGTGAAGTTTCGGTGTGTGCGATTTCTATTTTCCTGTTCCAGTTTCAGTCCGTCTGTACGTGTATGTCCAGTCATACATGGTCGTCATGAAGGTTTTGTTAGTGAGAGGTTATGTCGTTCTGAACCGAACATACAATTTTAATGCTTCCTGTCCTTCCAACATTGCATTTGACTGAACCCACCCAATTCAAATTTATTTGGACGTTAATTGGGCTTTTGGCTTTTGGAGTTTAAATTTGGGCTAAGGGGTAGAACAACATGTTATCTAGGAATAGCACCTTAAACTAGGGATGACATCGGTCCTAGAATCGAAATGAGAACCAAAAAACTGAAAACCAAAAATGGGGAAACATGGGAACCAAAAATATTAGTTTCGGTTGTGGTTTTTTTGTTCCAAAACGCAAAGAATCAAATTTATAAAGTACGTTGTTGTTTTTCGCTTTTTAAGGTGGCATTTTTTGATTATCTAATGATTTAATGACCATTACAATGAGATAAAATAAGCTTAATTTTATGTACAAAAAAAATTATACCACCTTAATCTCCTATGTTGAGAGCTGCGTAAATCAATTATTTCTTAACCAATTCAACTGTTTTTTAGTCAAAATTTTAGCCAAAACATAGGCTACAACCTGGGAAACAAATCAACTCATTCCAAGCTCGTGTGAAGACATTATGCCCGTTCAAGTTGGGCAAATATTATTAACAGTGTTGAGAAAAACTGACAACTCTAACATCCCTTGTTTAAAGTTATGTAACTCACCTATTTCTTAATCAATTCAATTATATTTTAAACCAAACTTGTATCCAAAACATACAAATACAACTTGGGAATAAATCAACTCTTCCAGAGCTCACATGGAAGAGTTATGGTCGTTCAAAGTTTGACAAAAATTATAAACAACTGAATTAGGGGTGAGCAAAACCGAACCTGGAAACCGAAAAAACAAAACCAAAGCATAAATTGACAGTTTGGGTGGATGTTTTTCAAAAACCGAAAATTTTGATTTGTGTTCGGTTTTTTGATATGGTAAAACAGAAAAATACCGATTATATATATATATATATATATATATTATATATATATATCTTATATATATATATATATTATATATATAGGGTTGAGATCGGTTGAGAACTCATAGTTTCCCGAAAACCCGAGAACTAAAAGTGGAGCGTTGGATCAAAAGTAATTCATTAAGGACATAATCGTCATCTTACCAATCTCATTTAATGTTTAATTTTTTGTGTTATTTAACATATTAATATAAATGTCTAAAAATTTACATCATAAATCAAATTTTCATATTTTTTTAAAAATAGTATTTTTCGTTTTTTTTAAATGCAGATTTTTTAATTTTTTATAGAAAACATGAATTTTTGAAAAAAAATTAAAATTTTTTTTTTAAAAAAAACTGCAATTTAAAAAAAAAACTGCATTTTTTTTTCAAAAAAACAGCAATTTTTTTTTTCAAAAAAACTGCATTTTATTTTCAAAAAAACAGCAATTTTTTTTTCAAAAAAACTGCAATTTTTTTTAAAGAAAACAACATTTTTTTCAAAAAAAACTGCATTTTTAAATAAAAAAAATTGTAGGTTTTTTTTAAAGAAAATTACATTTTTTTCAGAAAAAACTGTATTTAAAAAAAAAACTGCAATTTTTTTAAAAAAAGCTACATTTAAAAAAAAAGTAAATTTTTAGGTGCATATGTGCATATTTTTTCAAATGCACATATGTACATTTCTTATACTATAATATTCGTAAGTAAATCACAACAAATCTTATATTTATTAATTAAGCTATAAACATAATAGTACAAGTATTTTATTCGATACAAAATAAAATATAAAAAATAAAAAATGTTACAAATTTCAAAACGTTTTCATGTCTTCGTGTCAATATTTCCTTATTTTCTTCAATTTATTATTTCACCTCTTCAATATTCACCACAATTTCTTCCAAATCTACAAGAAAATTAAAAAAAAATATTAATGTTAAAGCACTCACAAATATACATATGTGATTTTCATGTGATTAACATATTAATCACATGCAATTCACATATGAATCACATTTACATATGACATCATATGTACATCGCATGTGATTTATATGTGAATCACATGTGAATTACATATGAATCAAATGTGAATCACATATGATTTACATGTGAATCACATGTGATTTACATGTGAATCACATGTAATTTATATGTGAATTACATGTAATTCATATGTGATTTACATGTGAATCACATGTAATTCATGTGTGATTTACATGTGAATCACATGTAATTCATATGTGAATTATATATGATTTAAATGTGAATCGAATGTAATTTATATGTGAATTACATATGAATCACATGTAATTCATATGTGATTTACATATGAATCACATGTAATTCATATGTGAATTATATGTGATTTATCATGTGAATCGAATGTAATTCATATGTGAATTACATGTGAATCACATGTAATTCATATGTGAATTACATGTGTTTTATATGTGAATCACATGTAATTCATATGTGATTTATATGTTAATCGCATGTAATTACAACGTTGAACTTTATATAAATTTAGCTAAGTAAAAAAGAAACAACCATAGTTGTCCAGATTTAAGTGTTGAACTCATTAAGCCCATTAAGTAAAAAGAAAACTGCCCATGAGTTGTATTAAGAAGAGAAAATAGAGATCAAAGATTCAAATCTACTTTCAAAGTTATAAACCAATTTTAAATAAGATATTAGAATCCAAGAGACTAACAACATGACTCACCAGTAAGTTGACTTTTAGTAGAAAGTCGTCCACTCTACTCTCATCTAACAAAAAATAACTTGTATAGTGCTTTAGGATCTGCATAATTTTCAAACCAAACCCACAATTGACTAACAAATTGGATTAAATATATAAATAACAAGAAACATGATAAAATTATATTGAAACTATATGGGTAAAAAATGACAATTGCCTTAGAGTGCAAGGACCAGATGCGTACAACCATTGACTTTCCTCAGGACCTACTAAAACAAGGTACATCAATCAAGTTCCAGATTCGACCATGGAATGGTATTTGGTTTAGTTGGTTTTCTCCGGTCAACCGCAACATCATTAAGGCAGACATGGTTATTAATCATGTTGGCAACATTAATAGATTAGAAAATAAAATAAACTTCGTATGACATGTTATCAATATCTAGTCTCATGTCCCTATGTTGATCATACAAGTTAAGCCCACCAAGGATAAATTTGCTTCAAGTGAGGTAATTGATGTAGATAAAAAAAAGGTCAGTCAAGAACTATTTACAAATTTACCCTCCAATAGAGATTAAAGACTAATTAATTACCTCATATGTTAACTCCTCATTTTGTTCAATCCTATCAAGTGCTAGTAGTACCTACAAATCACCACACAAGATTATTAACACATACACAACACAAGGGTATTAACGTCTTTTGGACAGAATGAGAGAAATTACATCTGTAATCCCATCAATGTTATAACTCCGTGTTCCATTTTGATTCACGAATCGGACAACAGGATGATTTGAAGAAGTAACAGAAGTTTCTTATGAAGATGAAAGAGTTTCAGCATGTGATGAATCAGAAACCACATCAGTAGAGTTGACTGATGATAAGTCAATGGAGTCTTTTGAAAGGTCCATCTTCAATGACCTCTTTGTTCTCACTGATGAAACACTAATGAATTAATGAATTTCATTAGAGCTCACTAATGAATTTCAATGGTGAAGGCCACACCAGAGGCTCTGCTGATGAAGGGTTTAGAAATGCTGCACATGCTAGGTTCTTATGCTTTAAAGCAACCATGTATGGAATTCCTTTGTTTGAGGTTAGTAATGAGTCTAAATGAAAAGCATATAATAGTTGAATTTGGTTATGTATTTTGCAATTGAAGTTGTTATCTTTTAAAATATCATTTCCTTCCTACAACAATGTTTGTATACTCTAAACTGATGGGTTTTGCGCATTCT